CCGAAGCCGTTAATTGCAGAAATCGGCTTGTTTGGAGGTTCTCTCCTGTTTACGTATACCTTGTTGAACTATTTCCCAAATCGAGAATGTTGAGATCGATTGCTCTAGTGCAGGTTCTGCTCTGGTGCTTTAAGGGACATGCGCTTGCCCATGGTGACCATTCTAAGCTCCCGGAAGGGGAGGTGATTTCAGGGGATCCAATTGTGCGTTCTCTACACACGCCATATCCTGTATCTAGATTACCTTTTTTCTAACAAATGGTGTTCTTTTCTCAGGATGCGGTATTGTGGTTGCATATGATACTAATGACTGTTGCATTCGGGCTTATATTTCCAACTGGGATGGTCCTTGGGGTGAGTGATTTCCTTCTTTTACCGACTGCAGGATGTGACCTGACAATCACCATTGTATCTAGATTATTCGGTCCCGTTGGCACGTTCCAGTGCAGATAGTGAGCACCATTATTGCAGTTTTGGCCTACTTTATGGGTCATTTACATAAGGGGCGAACATTTTCCAAGAATATCCATGCAACCTTCGCAAATCCGTTGGTGCTCATGCTCATGGTTCAAATTATCCTGGGCGCATATCTCAAGCTTCACATATCGCGGGGAATCCATGGCAAAATACGTCTGTATGTGGTTGTGGTACACGGCGTTTTCGGCAAGCTGATGCCTGTTGTGAGTTGGGTCCAAATGCTGTTCGGCGGAATAACGGCGCTTGGATTTTGTCACGATGACCACCTCGGTCAGTGCCTTGCCCATTTTATCATGGGCAGCGCGTTTATTGCGTATGGAATACTCCTGACCATAGTCCTTTTGGTCGGACAATACTGGCTTTACCGGACTGGTAGGAGTCAAGAGTTCTTCGATTCCGTAGTTATTGCTGTTTGGGGATGCATAAACACCTTTACGGAGCACCGATGGGGGCAACCCTGGGGACATAACGATCTACAACACACGAGTATGGGTATTATCTGGTGGTGTGCTGGCCTGGTGGGAATTTGGTTAAGCAGGAAGAGAGATGGCCGACCTAAAAGAAATCTGATCCCAGGAATTGTGATCATACTCACAGGATACGCCATGTCTTCCCACCCGCAACACCTGCCCCTAAGTACCATGGTTCACACCGTTTTCGGATACACGTTGATGGCTGCGGGTGCAACGAGAATAGTGGAAATCGCATTTGTGCTGAAAGACCGCCACTCTCTTAGCCCTGATGGAACTGATCCTCACAGCTTCCAATACCTTTCTCCTTTCGTAAGTTCTTCCCGTCCCACTGTGCTTAAAGCCGCTAGAAACTAACGATTTGCAGCTGCTATATGCATCCGGATTTCTCTTCATGGGAGCGACGGAGGAACAAATGGAGTTCCTCTCAAATGTGGGCATCTCCCACGTATCCTACATTCTCATCATCTACAGTATAGCATTTCTCCTATTCCTATGTAAGTCAGGAGTTAACAAATAACACATCCCCTTTCAGGGTTCGTATACTTTACTCACCTAACTCGTTAGTTGTCAATGTACTCATCCACATCTATGCGATTCATGCATGGCCCCAAACTGCGAAATATAACGATAGAAGACCCGTCTCAGATCACAGTGTGCCAAATGGCCGTACCTCCAATTCCTTCCCAGTTAGTGGCCTTCATGCAGGTTCTAACGGCCATATTCTCAGCCAGACTCAAGCTCAACATATTCACGATGCAGAAGAATTTGAGCTGGAAGGCCTGATAGGTGCTGCGCACAAAGATCGAGATGATGGTGCGCCCATCGGTGGGGGAGCCGATTATAGAGTGGAAACCCTTGGAGGAGGACGATAGTATATGAACTATAATTTAACAACCACCAAGAGGTTGAGATGCGGTCCATCCAGACATCCTTTGAGGAGGTGGTGCTGGCTATCTTGGTCTGTATTTTTCATTTGGTATTTATACATGGAAATTCATAGCATTATTTTGTTTCCTGAGGGAATTTTTGTGCAGATACATATGTATTTGTATATTTTTCTTTATATATACTTCCCCTCCAAAATGGTTTGGTGTATTTACTTGCAGCAACTATGCAATTTTTTGAATCATCCGTAGAGTCGAGATGGGAGCAATGAGCATTATTGTCAGTTGGAGTGTTCTTATAGTTAGGTGTCCCGGTTGTGTAATTACCGATTATATATTTTATTTATTTTACGTGCGCCATAACACTCTGGCGCTTCCATTTATAAAATGAGCTTCGTCTTTTCTACTTCTCAGCTCAACTAATATTTTTTATCTATTTCATGTTTCTGCGTTTCCCTTCTCCCTTCCACTTGCCTGTTTATTTAATTATATGTAATTAATCATAGTTTTGGCGTGGAAACTATGCAGAATGGGGGACGTATTGTGTCTATATATCATTCAATCCTTTTTGTGTTGACGTCGACATAATTTTTTCAAACTTCTGACAATGCCCTCTAGTTTGACTTCTCCCCTCAGTATGCCACCCATTTTCTCTTTAACTTGAAAAACTTTCGCTTTAACTCAAGAGAATTTACAAACAGATAGCCATCCGAAACATAAACGGAACAATCAAAATGATTGTTCTCCCAAAATCCAAAACACCCCTGCATCCTGTTTGTAGTGGAGAAAAACGAAAACCTGGAATTATAGGTCTGGTGAATGGCATAGCAAACTCTAATGTAACATCCATCTTATAATCCTTACATTAACAAGAGGTTTCTTCGTAGTGTCGATATCGTCCATACATCGAATAGGACATTAGGCAAATTTTCCGCGTGAAATTGTTTAACACCCAGAGATGTTGTGAGCAAGAGACCTGACGCAGTGGGTATAACTAAGATGCTGCTCAGAAAAACCAACCCACCCAACATCAACCCAGAAGCAGAAAGGCAGCAAAAATAACAAGTCCTTTGCAAAATCCCATTCCGACAACAAGGGTATCTCAATCCTAGTCTCCTCTAAAAAAAAAAAAAAAAACCGCCAATTCACTCTTCCGGGAAAATCGGATGAAGCGAATAGATAGGTGCGACACTCCGCTCGCCATCGAACAATAGGAGATTCTGCAATGGCTGCTCCCTTGCGCCTAAAACGTTAATGACATCTTGAGCAACAGCGCCTCCCAAAAATGCGGCGACGGGACTCAATTCACTGCCAAGATTGTCAAGGAAACTTCGTATGAATTCCGCGGTGAGAGTGGAAATATCTAGACGAAGTTCTAAATGGCGGTCATTGGCGAGGCGAATGAATGTTTCCAGATCATCCCTTGTGGGCAAACTACCATTCATTTCGCGTTGGAATTCCCAAAGGGCACGTAGACAGGTGAGAAGGGGTGTTACCTGCAGGCGCTTACGGCGCACTTTAGTGAACTCCTGAGGCAGGGAAGAGGTGTTGGAAAGTATGAGCGGACAGTAGACTTCGCGTTTTGTGATCATTTCTATAACTTTGTCGTTTTCCCTTTTGGTTTTCACGTCCAGAATTGTTCTGGTGGGTGTTTCGATGGTCGAAGAGGCGACGTTTGATTTTTCTCGTTCGATTACAAAGTCATGGCTAAGTTGGTCGGAGAAGATGTAGCCGTAAAACCCATGAATTCCTGCGGCGTAGAAACGACGATTGGCCACTCGACAGGAATTGTTTATCCAGCAGAGGGTGTCATAGTCCAGATCTGTTGCGATGGTTACGTCATATGATGCAAAGAATGCTGGTTGTTTTGATCTGATATTGACAGCTTCAACTGCCACCTGTACCCTTGGGTTCATTTGACGAATTTGAGGAGCTGCAGCCTCTGCTCTCTGTGATGTTCATCAGCTCTGCGATCGCCTACGGGAGTTGTACGAAGTAAATAGGACTAACGTTTTGGTTGATATGATCTTCCGAGAGGAAAAATTGAGCACCAACGTCCTCCTCTCTAACAGTAGCATTATCTATGATCGTAAGGGATCCAATTCCAGCTAGCACAAGATTTTTGGCTACTTCTGCGCCAAGTGACCTGAGAGTGATGAGAAGAATTTTGGCAGTCCGAAGTCTATTTCATTCCAAAATCCCAAATTAGTTGAAGGCTGTTAACGGGATTCTGGGGTTGTTGCACACTTTTCTTGTGCTTTTACACCCCATAGCCGAATTTGACGGTCATAGAGAGCAATTTCATCTTGGATGTTCCGTTAGCAAAACCTCTGGTTCTTTAAAAAAAGAAAAAGAAAAAGAAAAAGAAAAAGGGAAGCACACCTGCTGTTATTTGGCTACCAGTATTATCTGATGTCATGATTGAGATTAGGGAGGTTTAAGACGCCAGAAATACACTTGACCGCAGTATGAGATGTCGCCTGATATAGGTATGTAGAACAGAGAGTTTCTAAGGGGGAAATATTTAACTAGGCTTATGGAATTGGAGCTTTGTTCCTCTGAGGAGGTCAATGGCTGATGTATCAACAATGGAAATAGCACAGCAGACAAACTAATACGAGTTTACACCTGATTGATGTATGGAATAGTGTTTGAGGTTTTGTAGATGTTCCAAATACTCAGAGTGGCCGCCCAGGTGATGATCACCTGCGGTCACGTGGGGATATGGGGTCCATGCTGAATCGGGGCTCAAGTTTCAGCCTCGCCCGTTTCCCACCATCATCAAACAAACATGAATTGCAAGTGATGACATTCGTCTCTTTCTCTGCATCAGCCATCTCTAGGCACTATTATGATTACTCTATCTGCCTCGCACATACACAGCAATTTTCATACCTGAGGTAGGTCAGTTTAGGCAGTTTCTCTCTCATGCTAAACACGGCACCTCCGCCTCCTCTTCGTATCTGATGAGATTCAGTCACACCGCCCGTCCTTTACCACGTTGGTGTCTGGGTTTATCCAACGACAAGCTATAAATACGTTATAAATATTGGGAGTTTAGCTCTCTTTGCCGACGTTATACACTTCCCAAATTTGATACTCTGTGCTAGCCACCACGTAGCAATCATCCCCCCCAAGTTCTTGCTCATCGATTTCATCTCCACACAATGGTACGTTAGCCTGCGTATTACACTACACATACATGACATGCCGATTTCCATCAAAATTATCAAAAATTACTTGTTCATTCTATTCTTATATGCTCAGCCCATTTGTTAATGTTACCGTATAGTCTGGCAACTTCGATTTCCCAGGTTCCTCTGATCGCAACAATCGACCGGGGAGCCCCGCGGATCGGGCACAGTACCGTACGCGTTTGAACACCCGACTACAACACCTACAAGGCTTACTTGATGCTCGAATGTCCCGCTGGCGAGAAACCGCCCGCGAAAGCACTTACAACGTTTTTCATGAAGAGTTACAGGCCTTAGAGGGCATCATCGATTCCCATGTCGAGAATGACTCTGAAAATATTGGGGAGCGAATCGGTTTTGAAAGAGGCCAACAGGCAGATACTTCTGTCCCTGTAACAACCCAGCCCAGGTCAGAACAAAGCAGAAGATCGAATGAACCCACAACTGGGCAAAGACGTCCCCGGATGGGTGCGGTGGATCGGCTAAATATGGCCATGGACGCTACCGATGCTGACACCCGGAGAACCACGTCCTTCGGCGAATGGGATAATCTTCGGCGAGCTGCGGTGCGGGCTTCAGGGACGTCCTTTAACTCTGCTCTTGATGAGCCTGTTCCCCTGGCAGGACTTTCCCTTCCCGTTTCTCAGGACAGAGCTGCCGAAAGTCGTGGCAGTCGATGGAGACCGAAAAGGCGCAAATTGGACTCTGATGATAAGAGGGAGGGGATCCAAGGCTATAGCTATGGTCACTTCGGCCAAGTTGTACCGGGCGCTTTGGAGATGGAGATTGTCAGCTGTGACGGAGGAACGTATGAAACAAACGGAGAAAACTCGTATCCGGAAAATGTTCTTCTCAACGACTCATCAGTTTACTGTACCAAAAGTGACCGATGTAATTTGATTCTTCGTCACCAAGGGGAGACACCCTTCTGCCTGAAAAAGATTGTCATTAAAGCACCCAAATCGGGCTTCGACGCTCCGTAAGTGATCTTGATCCTATCACATAACAAGTCGAGATTCAAATATTAACTGGAATCCTCGTCCATTTAGCATTCAAGAAGGGATGGTCTTTGTCTCAATGACCTCAGATGAGCTCTTGGCGCGCACCGCTCAATACCAAATTGTGTATTCCCCATCTAGACTAAGGTCCCGTCGACGCCGACATGCTCGAGGAAATTTTTCTCAGCGATATCTATCCTCAACGAGATCACCTCTGCAGTCTTTAGAAAGGGCAGCGCTAACAGGCCCGGGAAGCTGGTCAGACTCTGATAATGAGCCCACAACACTCTCTTCGAACACCAGGTTCTCCCTCCATCGAGGCTCCTCGTCTGACTTGCGCATCACAACCCAGTTTAACGATAAGTCTGACGATGATATCAATAATGAGGATCCATCTTCGTTAGCCGATATTGACAGAATGCGCTTAGAACAGTTGGAATCGGAGGTGATTTGTCCGGATTTCGACACCGATAGCGATGATAGTTATGAATTGGCCTCTGACTCCCTTCTTCGTGATCAGCGTCGGCTGCGACGTCGCATGAGGCAAGTTGTCAATGCTGTAGAAGCGGTTGGTAATTTTACTAGCAGGGGCAGACGACGGCTAGTGCCCAGTTTAATCGAACCCTCATCTTCGCTGCGGAGCAGAGATGCCTTGAATCATATCAATGCAACATCTTACGACACAGAAGTGATGAAGCCACATGCTCGTTTCTTCATTGAAAAGGAGAAGAGTATGGTTAGCATTAAGTTTGATCCACCTGTGTATGTGGTATTCTTCATCCCATCTTTGCGCTTTTCCGTGCTAATATATTCAATTTCCAGATCTGGAAGATTCATTCTTATCAAGCTATGGAGCCCTTTTAGTGGAGGGAATATTGATATCCAGAGCGTGGTTGCCCATGGCTTCGCTGGGCCTAGGTTCTTCCCGGCTATGCAATTCCGATAGATAGATAGTTTGGTTGTTTAGTAGTCTGGCACTTTGTCAGTTGGCTCCTGGTATTCAATTTTGTTTACAAGCTATTTTCTTTTCCTTTTTGGCGGTCAGACATACAACTTTTTGCACTGTAAAGGCAGATACATAAGTATTGTAATCCTGGCATTTGTTGGACTTACTACTTTCTTTTGTTATATTTCTAGAATCAGCGTGATGATAGCTTGCAACTTGGTTTCAATAAATTGTTGCCAAGGCAGCTTGTGGAAGAAAGGTTACCCGCAACAAATCTTGGCATTGAGCTTGGCAACCATGGCGCTTTTAAGCATAAAACCTTATTTAATCCTCAGTTACAACCTGTCCCGGGTGATGATCATAACTGAACGAGGACGATGAGAATACAAGATACCAGGTAGTTTCAACGAAATTTCAATGCCCAAACTACGCCCAATCCAGGAATTATTTTTTGCTAAAATGGTCCTTTAAAGCATCAACTGACGAATTTCCCTCGGTCAGGCTGCATCACGGACGGTGCCGCATCACCACATAACAATTCTGCTGCGCGTTGGGGAGCTTTGCCTCTCAGGGCTGTGAGGGCCACATGATTAAGGGGTATGCATTATCCTATATTACTATTTTCGGTCCGGGAAATTGGTCCATTCAGGTTTGCGGGGACGGAGACGCCAGGAACGACAATAGCTCCAAGTTTTGCGGAGTTGAAAGAAGTCCCCATGCTATGTTACTCCGCATACTCTTGCACACGACCTGTAACTTATGTAAGGGATACCAGGCATAGGATGATTTCCGCTTATCCTATTTATAGCTTATCGAGTGGTTTTCATAGACATGTTTATTTCTTTTTCCATTCCTGCATGCTGAAAGCCCTGTCAACGATTGGACGGAGATGGGATCGTCTTATTCTCTTAGCCTCAGAGTGAGGTTGTGTCAAACCGGAAGTTCCACCTAGACAAAGCCACGGATGCTTCAGAATATTCAGCAGGGGTGGAGATGGCTCCAAATCCGTTGTTGAGCATTACCCAACTCCAATAACATTGACAGTGGGAACACTGTTAAAGGGTGGGGAGAAACTTTGCCACGAGCCGGTGACTCGGCGTTCGATATCAGTTTCAACCACTTGGAGTCATCTCAATTCAGTCTTAAAAACCTTAAATAGTCTCACTATACCTTTTTTTGAAATTTACCACTGCTTTTGCATGTGAAACCCTGCTCTCACAAAAAAGGTTAAGAATCTTTCAATATAGTCTTTCGTCATTATTTTTCTAAAATTGTTCTTAATCCCTGCTCATTCAGCAGCAGCGCAGTGGCATGTCCCCTTTTTCTCTGAAATTCATTCTACATTCACTGCCTCACCTCATCTATCCACAAATCTGCATATCCACCAATCTACCTATCCACCAATCTGCCTGCCTTGTGAAATTGATAGGCAAGCAGATGAAAAGGAAGATTGACAGAGTAGATAGAATGAGTGGCAGAATTGGAGACTAAATTGTAGGTTAGGGGATTTACTACTTTGTCTGATTTTGAGTTCACCGAACCATGTTTTTGTCCTCTTCCCCGCAGAAGCAAGGCCCAGGCGGTATGAATCGATCCCGCATTTGTCTCCACCCAGCGGACTAAAGACTTCGAAGCCAGCCCTTCTTCGTCCTCTTTATTGACTCACACGGGACTGCCATCTTCTGCTATAACAACCAGAAGCGTTATCTTCTCAGGTACGTTGATCAAACTCCCTCACCCAATCAGACTTGTTTCTTAGCCGCATGGAGAGTTGCACAGAATTCCCTAGCGGTGTTGTGTAGCGCTAGGCATTTAAAAATCCGAAGTATTTGCTGTGGTTAATTAAGAAAGCTAACAATAGCTAAGCCAACAGGGCCTAAAGTTCCTCGCTTTCATTTCTTTTCTTTTGCAAGCCTTCCTTCGTCTCTTCAGCGCTTTTACTTCAGACTTCGGCCTCGGGCGCGCACAGCTGGAAAAATTCATATAGAAAGACAACTAACTACATGTACGAAGTCAGCTTAGGTCCAATAGGGGAAAGGAAAGGTGTGTTCCTTGCTCCCATGTTATTGTACGCAAAGTTTTACTGGCGGGGAATGTCGCTTTTCTGCTTTCCGCTTTTGCGATGTTAACCTGTTTGCTTTTATAGAAGATGCAGCATCTCGAGGCTCCACTAAGATAGTGGACGATGTTGGCCTTGAGCACTTTCTCGTGTCCACCACGGAGAAGAAGTTAATGAGGAAGATTGATCTCCATCTCCTCCCGGTGCTCTGTGTACTATATCTGCTTGCTTTCCTGGACCGGTATGCCTATCGGAGGTGGACGGGGTTGCAAAAAATATGTAGACCGTGGACCAAGGTGTGGCTAACAGCTAGTTCGTGCACAGAGTCAATATCAGCAATGCGGCCATCTTCGGGTTGAAGGAAGATTTTCGTATTGAAACCGGCACCCAATATAACGCTGCGCTCGTTATTTTCTTCGTGCCATATATTCTGTTTGAGGTATGTATAGTATATTTCTGCGACGCTCCGGGAGATTCGCAGTTTTATCATTTTCAGAAAATTTGCTAATCGACTTACGATTATAGATCCCATCAAATATTCTGCTGAAGAAGCTGAAACCTCACGTGTGGTGTACGCCTCACCATTTATATGAAACCTCGTATCCCGACTAACGGACTGTGATACAGTATCAGGATGCATGTTCTGCTTCGGACTCGCCACTCTCTTCCAGGGACTTGTACGGAATTTTTCAGGCCTCATTGCAACACGATTTCTTCTTGGTTTGTTTGAAACTGGCATGTTTCCAGGATGTGCGTTCTAGATCCTGTTTTATGTAGACGGATATACCCCAAGAGGCTAGCTATACTAATTCTCAAATAGCTTTTTATCTCCTTGGAATGTGGTACAAACGCAACGAAGCCCAGAAACGATTCAGTTTCTTTTTCAGCTCCACGTCTCTTGCGGGAGCCTTCGGGGGTCTTCTTGCAAGTGCAATAGGCAAGCTGGACGGTGTTCGAGGCTTTCTTGGTTGGCGATGGATTTTCATCTTAGAAGGGTTGTTAACATGCATTGTCTCCTTTGGTTGCTTCTTTCTCATCCCTGGCTTCCCAGAGGATGCAAAATGGCTGAGCGAAGAGGAACGGAGTTTTGTTCAGACAAAGCTTGCCAAGGATGTTGGTACTGCGGACCATGAAGTCTCTGTTGGTTGGAGAGACGTTCTTGAAGTTTTCAAGGATTGTATGTTATCTGCAACGGAGAAATTATACGTGCCGACTGACATGGTGCTAACCATTGTACAGACAAAATCTTTGTTGGTGGATTTATGTATTTTGGCCTTATTGTTCCCGCGTACGGTACGTGCCACTTTAACTTTCCCACAGCCAGTGAGCCCTGTGCATATACCAACTGACATCTTTTGATAATAGGATACGCCTACTTCGCCCCTACCATCATCAGGACCTACGGTTACGGACGTAAGTGGAGCCACACTGTTCCCCCCTCATACAAAAGATCAGCTGGGATTTTTCTCGAAGACATATATCTAACCCAACGCTCCCAAAGCCATCCAAACGCAACTCCACTCCATCCCCCCTTGGGCAGTCACGTTCGTTATAGCCCTTATCGTCGCATACCTATCCGACCACATGCGTAACCGTTTCGTTTTCACCGTTATCCCCATTTGCGTTGCGATTGCAGGCTTCGTCATCCTCCTCAACGTTCATGGTCACCGCGCAGTTCAGTATGCCGCCCTTTTTCTGGTTACCTCAGGTACATTCAGCGCCATGCCAATCGTCATCTGCTGGTTCACCATGAATCTGGGCGGTCATAAGCGTAGGTCCATCGGTACAGCATGGCAAATTGGTTTTGGAAATAGTGAGTTGAAGCAAAAATCTTGCTCTTTCTTGTCCACCCACAAAATAAATATAGGCCCACCACTATGCGCGTTTTTATACGCTGTGCCAATTTTGCGTCTCGAGACAACAAGACATTAACCACATATTCAACGGTAGTTGGCGGAATCATCGCAACCTTCTCGTTCCTCCAAAAGGATGCTCCCCAATATCGACGTGGATACATCATAAGCATAGCCTTCATCTGTCTTTCCGCTGCGATGTGCATTTTATACTTCTTTATCGTTCTTAACCGCAATCGCAGTCGTAATAAGCAGGCCGTGGTGGATGCTTCAGGTGGTCCGGATCAGGATGCGTCTAAGCCTCATTTGGGAGATTTGAATCCGTCATACAGATACCAGCTGTAACTGGGATATGCATTCCTCCTTTTGAATTTTGAATTTTTGTTGCATTTATTTATTTTACTTTTCACAGTTTGATTGTTCACTCTTTTAATTTGTGTTGCTGAATATATGTTGGTCTTTTATAGATTCCTAGAGGCGGATTCAGTTCATAATCGAGTTGGTATCGTTGGTATCGTTGGTATCGAGTTGGTATTGAAAGCCGATATTTCCAAACGTTTACTTAAAAAGCAGTGTAATTAATTATGCGCGCAACCAGAAATACCTGAAAATTAAGAATAATCTATACTTTAAGATAACTATGGATTCCCCCACGAGATGATATAAGCGCTGTCAAAACGTGGGGGGTTGCCAGATTTGGTTAGGACAAATTAAGGTTTTCCTGCCGTAATCAACTTTAAATTTCCCCGCCCGTCAATACACCTTGTTATCACTCTTAAAATGCCCCTGATCAATGTAAACACAGAAGAATACTGAGGACAAAACGGACCACCAACCGATTTTATTTGCGAAGAGGATAAGATATACCTTCCTCTCCCCATCAACCTACGTACGGCTGAACCCCATATCGTCAAAATAAGCAACACAATTGACCGTTGCCGGGAAACCTTTTGACCCCCAAAGTTTTGACTCCTTGCTCAAGTGACGCTTCTTTCTATACTTCTCAGAAGCCTTTGGAATATATCGGACTGCCAGCGGTTTCAAATGTAACAACCGGTTTCTTTGGCTATGGCCCTCCTGACTATGCGTTAATGGGCAACATTGTCGACATTTGGCGGAAGCATTTCGTTCTTGTGAGAGCGTGGGAGGACGAGAATTTACTGCTGTTAGGAATCTTGCTGGTGGAGTTGGGGGTTGGGAGGAGGTTGTGGAGTGGCTACGGCAGTTTTCCGGTCAGGAGATTTGAGGAGTGAGATTGTTGAAAAGGAACGGTTTAGATGGTTGGCTGAATTGAAAACCCTGAGATATAGTAGCACACCGCTCTAGAAGTTAAATTCTTGTAATCATTGATCGCGTTATAGATAAGAGTAAACCGAAACCCTCTTCCTGAGACGGAAATACCAAAGGGAATAAATGTGGAATGAGGAGAGATCCCTTCTAAACAAAAGCAGTGGAGTCAATCTCTAAATGCAGAGGAGGAAAATGCATACACTACTCGTCACGGACATATGTTCAAAAAAAGAGGGGAAAAAAAAGAACCTCCGAGGTTGAATTAACAAAACCCAACTCCAAGATATCCTATACATTCGGCGCGGTGGCATGTACGACAAGCAAACTAGCTTGAATCAAATTCGACGTCGCCGCCATCGCTTCACCCAAAGCACCAAGTGCCCTTTTAGCCTCCAACCCAATCTCTCCGGAGGAAGACAACCCCGCAGGTGTCAGCGACCTAACGGCTACGTTGTTGCGTCCAGTGATAACAAGATCGCCGGTATTGTCTTTCGATTTCCCCACATCCGCTCTCGCAGCATCCAAGACAGCGGTGATTACATCCGCTGATGTCGTTTTCAGATTCTGGAACACGACACGGTCACTGAGTGCTTCAGGCACGGAGTCACGGATGGAGTTGAAGAAGGCATCGGCAGCTTCCTGTTCCTGGGAAGTTGGGACTGCTAGGGCTGTAGGTAAAGGAGTGGTGGTAGTAGCAGGTGCGTTTTCCTTGTTTGAGGAGACGAGATCCGGTGGCGCCTCGGTTGTATCGACATGAAGAATCGTGGCAGTTACAGTTGAATTTCTTGCGAGTTGGAGGACAAGGCGAAGTGCTACTTTGTCATCGACTCCGCCGAAGTAAGGGAAGAAAACGTGATGTCCTTGGTTCAGTGCCGGAGACAGCGTGATGTCTGCTGACTTGTAGATACTGGTGCCGCTGACGGAGCGACTCAAATGTCCTGGTTGCGGTCTTGTTAATTGCGGTCCTCCAAAACCTTTGTTGACAAAGACTCCAACTGGGCATTTAGCATTCTTTAGGATTGTGTTGATAAATGCGGTATGGGGACCCGTTGAGAATTTTTCCTTTTTGTCATCGAGAAGAAGAATCTGGTGCTCGCTCATGCTCCCCGTTTCACTCCAGGGAAGAAGGATGAAATCGGATGATATATCACGAGCTTTGCTAACGATTGTTTCAGCATAGGCGTGTTCAGGAGAAATGACGACGGCTCCAGAGACAGTCAGGGTATTCAGCTGACCAAAAGTTCTGAATGTGTTCAGAATTGGATCGCTGAAACTATAGTCATGGACCTCTGATACTTTCATTACACTGGAATCACGGTCGGTAAGTTCAGTCAAACGGAGACCATGAACCTCCACGGGGCGTTCTTTCTGGTCTGGCACCGTCTCAGCCCTATCGCCTTTGTTGAGGTGATGCACCTTGCTAGTGACAGCTTTCGAAGCGTCCCCAGGACCCAACAGTGAGACGAAAGTAAATAGTCCGGCCAAATTGTCAAGCCGGAGATAGATCAGGAACTTCTGCGCAGCTGAGCGTTGTGCTTTTTGTCGGGAGATTTCTGAGCTGCTCATACGATCCCCGTCAGATGAGATTTCATTTCCGTCCCAGTCAACCTCACCGCGTCTCCATCTCTCCATTTGATCCCGATACCACTCCGGGTAAATCCAAAGGGTGAGCGGTGTCGTAGCAAATGTAGTAAGAAGAGCCATGACAACAAATATCGTAAAGGTTCGGGTACTGAGAATTCTCGCTTGGAGACCAATATTCTGCATTATTGTGTTTAGTGAATCTCTCAACTATATAGAAGGGAATGTTGAAACGGTTGAAGAAAGGGTAAATTATGCTTACCAGGACAATAAGCTCAACCAAACCCTTACAGCTCATTAGTACACCAATGGCAGCACTTTCTCTCCAAACGAGACCGTTCAGTCTCGATGCCAGCATCCCACCCGAAACCTTCGCAATAAACGCAATCACGACGACAGCAACCACGTAGCCCCAGGTTATTCCAGTGTCCAGGAGGCCAATATCAGTATTAAGTCCCGAAAGAGCAAAATATAGCGGTAGGAAAACAGCCCCGATGAGATCTTCGATCTTCTCCGTGGTTTTGATGGCAAACCCGCCTTCGTGGGGGCAGATGAGACCAACGAGAAATCCACCGAAAATCGCGTGCACGCCAATTACCTGGGTAAAGAAAGCGGCAGCAAATGCGAGAAGCAAAGTCAACGCGACGACAGACTGATCGGGGCCATTATGTAAACTGCCCGTGCGTTTCAAATACCAGATGAACACTGGGCGCACGGCATACGTCAAAAATAGCACAAAACCGACACAGGTTAACAGAACCCATAGCGCAGTCAATCCGGTACTTGCATTGACGAGAGCAACGCATAGAGCAAGGAGGATCCAGCCAACAACGTCATTACCAACACCAGCTGATAAGACAATCTCGCCTACAGTCGTGTTAAGAAGCTCAAGTTCCGTGAGGATACGGCAAAGGACAGGGAACGCCTACGAAAACCCATGTTACAAATTGCTCATAGCGTGGTAGTATTGAGAAAACGAACTTACAGTAATCGCCATCGCGATACCAATGAACAGCATAAATGTTCCAAAACTAATAGGGGCCAGACCCGGCTCGTCTTTGAATTCATAGTACAAGCCATAGGCAACTGCACAACCGAACCCGAAGGGCAGAATCATACCGGCTGCAGACACGCTTACAGCAACCCTCCAATTACTCAACATGGAGCGTAAATTGGTTTCCACTCCAATAATGAACAGATAGAGAACCAGTCCAAGGTTGGCTACCAGGTTAAGGTTTGGTATAGATTCCTTGGGGAAAATGGCCTGCTGAAATCCGGGTATTCTCCCCATGACTGAAGGCCCCAGAAGAATGCCACCTATAACCTCAGATATCACACGAGGCTGACGGATCTTGGAAAGAGGATAGTGTAGGACGCGGCATACGATGATAATGATACCTGCCTGGTTGAATGAAGATACCGTCAGCCCAGCGACCAATCATTTAAGGGATAACATATTGTTTAGACTTACCTGGATTATGAAGAGCGTGATAGGGTTTTTGGGGTCATAGTGCGTGGGATTTAAACGGTCAAAAACACCTCCTTGAGGGGTTGCTCTGACCGTGGGTGAAGGGGAGGCCGTGGCCGCGGAGCTGGCGACTGAAGCCATTGTGGTCCGCAACGTTCCAGCGCGAACGAACCCAGGCAACCTGAGATGTCGCTCCACAGGTTAATTGGAGTGGACAAGACAAGGATGCGGGGAAAGGGAAAAGAAATAAAAGAAGAAAAGGAGGGAGAAATGGATGTAGAAATAATAAATAAGGACCTTCTTTCCAGCCTCCTTTTACATGGAACGGAGCGGAGCTACGCTGGCCAGCGTACTAAATAGCTAAAACCTTGGAGGCATCAACATCGCTTCGCAGACCGTTCATAAGGACCGTTCGCAGACCCATGCTGACTTACGCTGTCGTCCGGGGGCTCGTGGTTAACACTAGCATTTCAGCTCAACGTTCACCATAGGCCCAAAAGGTTAATTCTAGTTGTTAAACTCTCCAGTGACCTATGATGCCATCATCATTAGACGGGCTAAATGATGGGCGCATGGCCCGAAGCATGGCCTGCGCGGAACCATGGTTGAGTTCCGAAAGGTGAAACAACTCCGCAAAGAGGCTATTTTGTGGAGATAAAGAGCACGGTGGGATGCACTGGCACCGCACGGTTTTCCCAGCCGAAGGTTTCCATGCAGAGCATGCTACCTGCATCCTGCATGGTTCATGGGTTGGCGGGATTGAAGAGTGGACTCTCTCCATACAGAGGGCGGTGGAGGGAAAAAGTGGCCCGCGTAGCATTAGTTTACTCCGAACATCCAAGCTAATTCCCGCCTAGATGCATCAGATGATGGGGTTGTTCGCCTCCCAGAGAGCTGCACATGCCAGAGATATCTCCAAAAGTAACACATATTATAATTGCTCAAGCTCGTGTATGATCCAGTAAAGACCTTGTTTGTCCGTCATGAGATTTAGCCTAAATCGCTACTGGGAATGCTGCGGTAGGTACCTTGGCATGGAGGGAGTTGAGTTGGTCTTAAATATCCAAATTACGGGCTACGGAGCTTGCTACTTTCGAGTCAAGGATGTTGGGGGAATACATTTTAAACAACACACACAGTTAAGTCGACCATAAATACGGCGTTAAAGGGCAATGGATTTTAGTAGAACTAGGTAGAGAAGCAGATTCCCGAAACGTGTCTAGGTCGGGACTGAATAAGTGATTGAGAACGGAGCACTTGACAGTACATTGACCGTAGGATGCCGGATGCGGTCGAAGCAATTACACGGACCCGACTTTAAGCTTGTTGTCGGGGTAGCTGGATGTTCACTTTGTATGGTGTTGGAAACAATTCGAAACAATGTCATAGATAATTAAATGTATTCACGAATGCCCGTAGAAAATATGTGACCCGCTAAAGCATCTCCAAATCTCTTCTTTCGCTCATTTTATATATATATATATATATATATATAACCGACACAAGGCACAGCTTTCCAAAGAAGAAAGTAAATTGAACGGACAACAACAATAAACCAGTGTGATATCTATCTACTCTAAAGAGCACAGAATCTTCCCTTTAGATTCTGTATTCTATCTTCCATAGAAGAGATGAATGATTCCAGGTTTCAGTGGGTCAAAAAAAATATAAAATAAAATAAAATAAAATAGGTAGGGGTAAGGGATTAGGTGGTGTAAGGAGGCGTAGGGGAGGGGAGAAGGGGGGGGGTAAGAAAGGTATTGTTAGCAGATCACCCGATTGTCCAAAATCCAATGCAAATAAAAGAAAATAAAGAAAAGACGGGGGAAAATATCACGACGAATTCTAGTGCTGAACCGCTTTACCCCACACCTTCTCAAAGCCGGACGTAGCATCGCCCTCATCAATCGCAGCCGATCCGCCATCCACACAAACAACACTCCCTTCACCCCCAATCGGCGTCTCGCTCGAAAAGTCCTCCAAACCCTGCAATATATTATCCCTCTTCGACCCCGACGCCACCACCGCTTCACCAGATTTTCGATCTGGGATGATGGGCAACTTGACATCGAAGTTGCTGCTGTAGACGACAGCCGCGAAGGCCTCGAGTTCACGAACCCCTTGCTCCATGGTGGCCAGGTATTCGTTTGGCGGATCATTGCCGTTGCCAATGACGTGGGCTTGGCGGGCGATTACGGCGAGGATGGTGGCGAGTTTGGCTTTAGAGGGTAGGGGAGGGGAGGGGGATGGGTGGAGGGTTGAGGAGGATGAGAAGACTTGTTGTAGTTGTTCGTCTGACCGTGGGTCCTGCGGGGGGTTGCTTTTGAAGGCCTCGACTGCACATTTGGTATCGATGAGGGTGGAAAAGGCTTCGTTGTTGAGGAGGGTGAGGATTTGGGAGAATTGGGGAGACTCGATTATGTCGGAGGTTTCGTCGAGGAGGTGACGGAGGCTTGAGGAGTTTTGGGAGGAGGAGGTTTCGGAGGCGGAGAGAACACCGGATTCTTTGAGGACATAGTCTTCCTGGTCCCGGGAGGGGAGGAGGTATGGGAGCCATGGTGTTAATCTTTCCACGTGGGTTAGGGAGTTAACAAGCTAGCTAAGAAGTATATATGAAATTTTACTTTTCAATGGAAGGAACGGGAAAAAAGGACCTACCTTCGCTCTTCTTCCGTAGCCCCTTCGACCTTCTTCCGCACAGCGAGGGTCAATTCCGACAGCTTCTCTTGCGTCATGTCCTCTCGCGGATTCACAGGTCCAAACACGTCTTCTACAGATTCCTTGACCTTGTCCATTAGCTGTTGCCAGCCACGGTGTAGGAGCCACCAGCTGAAAGTTAGATAGCGTCGATTGGTTTCAAAGTCATTGCCAAAGGCATGTCCAATGCCGTCGTCATCATGGTCTTCAAGATTGATGGTTGATTGGTCCTGAGGAGACGAGGCCAGCGATACCACGCTAGAAAGATAATTTCGTCTACCGAGGAGATTGAGCTGGATGCGTGTGAGGAGGGTCAGGAGGGAGAGGGTGTAGATAAGGGTAAGCGATCTCGTCAATGCTATCCTGGTGTGTTAGCAAACCCGATTTATCTTAAGATCTGGTGTCATCCACCACACTCACAATTAATCTTCAGATCATTCCATAATTGAGTTCTACCTTTTGGCTTCGGGGAATTTGTTCCTGAAGCGCTCTCCCCGACCTGGCTTGCATGCACATACCCTTCACTTGGGAAACTTGAAAGACTCCGCACATCATCCTCCGCTGTGCTCGGTGAATGCGAACTGATCTCAGACCCTGTCGCCTCCCCAGGTTTGAGTTTTGCAAGGCGTTCCGCTTTCTTCTGCTGCAGTTCATTCGTCAGCTCTTCGACGGGTAGAGCTTCAAGGATATTCTCCGTAGCTGTCGGAAGCAAGGCAAGAATGGTAAAGGTGCAGTCAGTCTGGTTTTGTTCGAATCTCCTTCGAAGGCTAGAACGACAGAAAAGGGGGAACAACTTGTCAGCACGGTGAAATATGGATATATGTATCCCTGACCGAGGTCTTTTTAACGCAGGTTGTGTCACCTACTTCTCTCGGGCTATCCTCTCACTACTCATGCGCTCCCTAGCCTCCGTGATCTTCGATAAGACAAATTGACCAGCCAGGTATCCCACCCCAATCACACCAACACCAATAGCTAGACCATTGCGATGGCGCCGAAACCAGCGTCTCGTTGCGCTTATCATTTTTTAATGGGACGAGGTCACGGGTCGCGGTTTCAATTCTGCACCTAAATGTGGTCTATCTCATGGTCTGTGGGTATCCGCTCCAGGAGAGTAAATGCAGATTACCAAACAACAAAGCAAAATGTAATAGGTAGTACCTCTTCCGCGTAGGATAATGAGAGACAAGCCCTGGCTGCATTAAGAATAGCTGTTCTTCCATATTACTATGGAATTGGGATGTTGGAAGTTGTAGTCCGAGAACCCAACTAAGATCCCTCGGCTAAATTGCAAGGCTAATTACTCAGCCGCGCGCAAGTCATGTGGCTCGTTACAATACCGTTTTTACATCGCCGCACCATAATTTAGCAGCAGCGACTAATCAAATACGGCGTAAATTACGGTCTTGGTTGGGTCGGATAAACAATTTAGCGGTGGGTGCGGGCCGAAATTCTTTTCAAACAAGATTTCGCAGCCAAAATACGTGGTTACATGTAGTATTGGCAGGTTATTGGAAGATGAAGACACTCTAAGCTTGTCCCTGGATGGCCCTATTATTCTTCGTGCTGGAAGAAGGGACCTTTCATTTGCAAGGTCGGCCTTGATCTTGGGAGATGCTGGTGGGGAACATATCAGCAATGACGTAATTGGTTTGAAGGTGACAAGTTAACTCATCCCAAGGTTTAGTTATGGCCAGGAAGCTTACTGAAACGCAACTCCTCTTAGGAACAAAGAAATATACTTCTATCTGATAACTTTTATTTTCGATCCAGGACCGATTAATGGAGAGTTTGTTTTCCAGATTGCCCAAGTGAAGGTATTCCTCAGCTCTCCGAATACGAGGGATGCACCCAGTCTGTGGACAAATGGACAAATGACAGAGGACCGAATCAAGCGCTCCGATGACTTTCGCCATGATACAACACCTGACTGGGATGATACACGTAAGAAAAATGAAAGGTCATAAAGCGGTGAATGGTGTTCAAGTTCTTGCTTCGTCTCGCAGCTTTCCAAAGTAACCTTATCATAAGGTCGCGAGTTACAGTTCGGCCCACGAGGGTCGAAACCATTATGCTGGGACCTGATCGGAAGCTTCTCAATCTTTCTCTAAATAGAAGGGCGCGTTGTTTGATTGCTATTCTCGTAATGGGATTTAGGGGAGAGTTTAAAACAAACATCCTCCGTTGGGACATATCTTCTTGATGGAACCACAATTTTTATTTGTATGGACTTGCACACATTCTAGAAATAAGGAGGAAATTGGATTCAATTTCATCAAAGGGCAGATTATCGGTTTTCTATTAGAAGGACACAAGGTGCCTTATACTCTCTCTATGCTTCTGTTCAGACTAGGGGCATGACACGGGTTTTAACTACATAATTTCGTCGCTGAGGTCCGTTTCACACATGTCAAATATAGTTATACATCTTAAAAATCATGTGATACAAAAGTCCAGGGAATGAAGCCGTAAAACAGGCACATGGAAAATCCCTGCCCCTTTAAATCGTCCAGTTACATCATAACGCGGGGCGTGTGCTCCATGCAGATGACGATATCAAGCATCAAACAACGAGATGAGCAAAAGTTGCCCACCACTTATTCAAACACCTAAGTAAAATCAACGGAGGAGTTGAAGTCTCTCCCTCAAGCAAGAATTCCCATCGAAGCTCCTAATTCAAGGCGAGAACAGGACCCAGGCCCGGCGGAAGCCGACCGACACGGTTCAACAACCATTAAACTTGACACCGCTCAATGCCGAGCTGATCGATAACCAGTTCACTAGTTAACTCCGTAGTAGACCAAACTTCTTTTTCAGCCCCAAGAATTCAAGAATCATAATCATCCCCTGCGAAGAGCTGCGTGGAGGGCAAAATCTCTGTGCTCATAATAGTAAACCCTCATAAGCTAGCTGGTTTACAAGAACATCCCATAGTTAATTTGAAATAACCTTTGCCAGAAGTAGTAAGGGAACCGACCTCTCCCCTTCGTTTTCAACTCCACTCCCCGCCCCCGCCCACTCCTCTCTGTCGGCCTAACTTAGCTAACAACGTTGGCAATGCGCAAGCGTGTCTGATAAACCATCAATCAGCCCTCTATCAGTTGTTTCTTCTTCGTGCTCCTCTTCCTCTAATATACCTTGCGTGGTCAGCTCAAGCCAGCTAGAATGTATATGATGAAGTGAATCGAACGAGCGAACGAAACCAGCAAACCTAAGTTGGACGGACGAAGAGCACAAACACGCAACGCAACCCCTCCCCACCAAACCCGAAATAAAATTGGGAAAAACAGACTATAACTAACCCCGCTTTATCTTTATGAAGTCTCATCTTTTCGACCCGCACTTTTCTTACTTGAACAAATTTATCGACAACTATTTTTCACTCCCTTACATGCTCAAAGCGAATTCAAGCTGAAAGGCTGTTGAAAGGAAATACAATCGCAATTCCGGGTTCTTGTGTCTGGCCTGACGATAACAGTTGAATTTCCGATTGATTGACGTTGATAACCGCCGTCCCAATTGCATTGCAAAGCCGGACTCCGCCGAGAGCGCTTCGAGCGCATGTGAACGGTTTTGCTTGAGTATATATACTGAGCCAGTAGAGAAAACGAGAGTACCAAGGGAGAAGAAAAAGAAAAGAGAAAGGGAAAAATGATGCAATCGCCAAAGCCAGACCCTCGCAAGCCGCCAGAACATATCCTCGAAGTCTTCGCGGACCCCACTTCTGTCAAGGACATTGTAAAAGGTGAGTTCTAGACAGTCCCTCCCATCCCTCCCATACCAATCGCTCGCCCCGAAGAACCCAGCCCAAAAACCGTTCCTAAACCTCACACAACCCAGGAATCCTCCACACAATCTTCTTCCACCGCTACTTCCCCTGCATCCGCCCCACCTTCCTCGACGTCCTCAACCTAACCCTCCCCGCCATCAACGACGTCGAGCTCGAGACACTCATAGACGCGCGCGTCAATGCGCTGATACGGCAGCATCTGTCATCGTCCGCGAATGGGCCGAATGGTGGTGTCAGGGGGCGGATTGCGGTGCAGTTTTTTGAGAAGAGGAGGAGGAAGGTTGGGGGGATGGGGGTTGCGGCCGGGGCGATGTGGTTTGTTAGCGGGTTGGCGGGGAGGGGAGGGAGTGGTGGGGATGGGGATGGTGGAAGTGGTGGTGTGGGTGCGGGGATGAATGAGGAGGAGGTTTGTTGGGAGGTGTGGACGGTTAATGTTACGATTGCGACGCCGCGGACGGAGTCGGGTAGGTGGTTTTATTTCTGTTTTCCCCCATCACCCGGTCCCATTTTATGTTTTTGTTGTTAACTATGTTCCCGCCCCTCCCGTGAATTTGTTTTGGATTGAGGCTAACATGCACAATCTTGAAATGCAAATAGACCGCACAAAGGTACGAAAAGCTATGGAGAAAATGCTACAGAAGGCCGTGTTTAAGATCCTCGCGGTCGTCAATAAGGAGAAAGACCATATTCCGCCAATTACCACGAGCGATGCGAATCCGTTCCCGTACCAGATTATCCTGAATCCTAAGTTGGATAGCTGGGGGAACAAATTTGGGCTTTACTGAGCTAAATGATAAACTTCTCCTGAAATCCCAACGAAACCCAGATCCGCCATGCTGCATCTGCGATTTGTTCACAGCGATGGGCCCATCCCACCACCCACCCACCCACTCTTCTTATATAAGCGATTTATTTGAAGCAATCAAAGGCGGACAAATATTCACACGCAATGGGGTAAGGTGGGTCCTCTGCTGAATATCGCGAAAGAGGCATGGGGAAGGGACCAAAAATCCCTTGCTGGTATTGTGTGTTCCGGGGCAACTCTCTGCGAAGCGAAAGAGTCAAAAATATATTATGCATTCAAAATCGAATAGCAAAAATATACTCAAATTGGTAAACTGAACTGCAAGACAGACACAATTCAGAGGTGGACAGCAATAATAAGAATGGTAATAGTAATAGTAATAGTAATAGAAATGCCTAGAGGAATAGCAAAACAAGTAGGAAAGGAGAGGAAGAACAACGAAAAAGCCCCGAGCCTCCAGGATTTCTCACATTCGAAAATTCCGTTGCGTTTAGAATCGGCACTCCTCGGGGAAAAAAAAAATCCATCTCTGAGCTGAAAATCAAGAAATAATAATTTGCAATCGTCGTATCTGAGTTGTTACTATATAGAGCTCTCTCTCTCTCTCTCTGTGTGTGTGTGTGTGTATGTGTGTGTACAGCTGCCGGCGGAAATTCTTTAACAAAAACAACTATCATGTCTCATGAAACAAAGGGAATTGAAGGCATGATTGTCATAACAGGTCACTGTCAGGCCAAGGCCGACACGTGTCGCCTTTCAATATCGAACCAGCGTTTTCCAACATGATATCTCTATGACGAGTGGGTTTTGGTGGCCTGGTCTGCCTGGGACCGAAGGTTGGAGGCAGTAGATCCACTCAGGAAGTACCGGGAGAAAACTGGCTGGATGAATGAGTGGAAGACGAGTTGTGCGCCGCTGTTATCATAGGAATTTAGACACTGTGGAAATATAAAAGGAGTTTGTGGCTATGGGAGTATAAGTGGATTCTTACCTAGTCTGGGGAAGGGCCATCCACAGAATAAGAACAAACTTGAAAAGATAGTAGAATGCTGCTCTCAAATTTTGTCAGTTTATGTTCTGTAGTAAAAGAAGATCGCACAGTCTAGGAATAGCATTGTAAACATACGGAACCAATAGGCCGCGCTGATGGCGCTCTCGATAACAGTCAAGAAGGCGAAGACGACCCAGTACTATTTCGCATGTGATTAGCAAAGGATCATGTGGGTTGGGGTAAGGGATACATGGGTAGATGATGTGAGGGAAGTCATTTTTTGCACGAACCGTCAGCCACTATATCAAATACAGCATGTCAGCAATCACGATCAGGGGGATGGATGGATATTCAAAACAGAGTTTCTGTAAACTTCAATGCCAAGAAAGAAGAACCATACCTGAGTATCATCAGCCTTCGCGACCGTGAACAAAGCCTGTAGAGAGTAGTATCCAGGAATCAAGAAACCCGCGAAGTTCACGAGGAATGCTCCACCAATGTTGAAGAAAACGAGGAAGAAGTAGATGCCAACAAGGCCAAGAAAAGCATAGACCTTGGGGACTGAAGTCTGTCTCTCGAAATTGTTCAGGGCGGGGTATTTGGACAGCTGTCGATATCTCAAGTCAATATTCAACTGGAAGTAGAGGCAGTGTGGATCCCAGGTATTGCACAGCGCACGATATCTGTAGCCCACCCACAATCTAGAAATAGCAAAAAAAAAAAAAAAAAAAAAAAAAAGAAGAAGAAGAAGAAAAAAGAAAAAAGAAAAAATGCCCCAAAACTAGTGTTGGAGAAGCCGCACGAGATACATACCTCTTTATCGATCTGAGCGATCTGGTGCTGAGCACGATCTTGGAAAGACATGATGATGATGATGATGATGATGATGATGATGATGATGATGAATGTGCGGACTGGTGGTGAAGGATTGCGAAATACTTGTGATTGACTTCTAGAATGAGGGATAAGCTGAGGGAAACAGAGAATGCCAGATGCAGCGGTTGTTAGAGACGTCAATTCGTAAATGGCAGGAGAGCAGAGTGGTTGGCAGCGGTCAATAAAACTCACAGACGGAGTGAAGAAGGAATACAAAAATAATCAACAACGGGAAAAGAGGGGGGGAAAGGGGGGTTAGTTTTGGTTGCTTGGTATTGGGGGTAGTTGGTTGGAAAGGTGGAATGATGGAATGGTTGGGAGGAGTTTTGAATGGTTGGAATGGTGGAATTGGTTGTTGGAAGGTTGGAAGGTCGGGACCGTTTTATGTAAAGAGGAAGCGGGCGGAACCTAGTAAGTAGAGCAGGTGGTAATGATATATATTGTCCATAACTAAACCAAACTCCTCCTGCTCGGGTGCAAGATTTGACCGAACCGACGTAACTAG